AAAGATATAAAACATAGTCAAAATTAATTGTTCCATATAATAAAAGTTAAAAGACCACACTTTTAATTATTAAAAACAAACAAGTTAAATTCTAGGTATTCAAAAACAGGCTTTTCTGTTTTTCATTTCCAGAAGTAAAAAAGCAAGCAGCAAATTAGTAACAACTAAACAGAGCCTTAATTTGGCCAAGTTAATATTCATTTCGCATTCTAAACTTAAGCTTGGTTTTACGGCTTCCTTTTAATGGTGAATTATGTTTAATTAGAAATCTTAATCTTCTCTTAATTTCCCTGCCAATCATCTGCCACTAAACACACAAGTTTTGGAAAACTCACTCAAATTCAAATTCATTCCAGAAAAGATCAACAGTATCGAAACACAAAGAAATAATAGTAATGGTTCAAGACTAACCGCCTTGGCAAACTCAATCCTAAGCGGATTCCCCGCTACAGGGAAACCCTGGAGCGCCTTCATGGCGGAAATAGCATCTTCTTCGTTTTTGAAATTGATAAAAGCGTAGCTTCGACCTGGCTGAAAAGCCACGCTCTCTAGTTCCCCATACTGTAAGAAGTGGTCCGTGAGGTCCGGCTCTAATATACTGTGCGATAGATTCCCCACCCAAAGGTGTCTCGACGGCGGAGCATTGCTCCTCCCCAAACTTCCCGACGGCGGATGGTCACGTCGCGATCTGTCCCTGCCTCCGCGGCCAGTCTGAAAGTAATTATTAAACGAAAAAAAAATGAGAGAAGCTTTGAGTGAAAATAAGAGAAGGGAGATGCGAATGGAATTGAAAGAGAGCTGAGTGACTGACCATGGCTACCCTTTCTCTTCTCTAAGAATAATTCGAAGAGTGATTCCTTTTCCTTCTCGGATCGATTAAGGGTTTGCAAATCTGGCCTGACTCTTCAATATTCTGGAACTGCGAGAGACGAGGGGATAATCTTGTAAATTACTTATTTATTTATCGTCTTCTTATTTTAGGGTTTGAGATTTGCAGAAAAATAAAGAAATCCGAATGATGACGTGGTAATGCATTTCTACCAAACTTATCGTCATACTTTTCCTTCGTCGTCTTCCTTTTTTTTTTTTTCTATATTTTCTATCTTTAATGTCGAAAAACAGTATTCAACTAGTTGGAGTCATTTATTATTTTTTAGAAAATAAAAAATCGAATTTTATTGTTTGAATAAAAAAAATTAAATAAAAATTACTGAAAGTAAATATTAGGACGTCCATTTGTTATTATTTAAGTAAATAAAGTTGGAGTATTTTAATATTTAACTCAAAAGTTTATTTACTTGTATAAATATGTTTGTTTATAAATTATGTAGATATATGATATAAATTAAAATATTTAAATTTAAAGCATTCAATCTCAACCTTGTGTTTACGAGTTTCATATGATAATAATAGTATTATACGTTCTTGAAATTGAAAATCAATAAATATCAAATTTTAAGTACCATATGCTGGATTTGGAAAAATTTTAAAAAAAAAATTCATTGGAAAATAAATTACCAATGAACAAAAAAGTCCTAGTCCATTGGCAAAGATGTTAGGCATGGTTAGCAATGTTCAAAAAGGTGTTTAATGATGTAGTATATAATCATATTTTGTTGCATCATATTAATAATAAAAAAACGATACAATACTCCAATAAATTTTTAAATTAATTATAAAAATATAAATAAATATTTATTTTTTATTATATTTAATTAAATTTTTATATTTTTATTTTAAATTAAATAAATTTTTATAATTAATGATTGACTATTTATTATTAATCAAAATATAACTTATTGTTTTATATCCGTATAGTATTAAAATAATATTAATATGAAAAGTAAAAAATACATATGATTATTTTTTTATATCAAATTAATATATTATGTCATCATCAATTATGATGTGTTAGCAAAACATATTATTATCAATTATAATATATTAGTATACTACATCAATATTATATAATATAAAATGATAATGAATATTTTGACTTAGCATTATAAAGATTTATTTGATTTAAAATAAAAATATAAAAATATTTGATTCAAAATAAAAATATAAAGACTGAATTGAACGTGATAAAATTATAAAAATTTATTTAAATTTTTTAAAGTTTTTTTTTTAATATTATACTTAAAGTTAAAAAAATTATTAAGATAATTTAATCAGTATAATGTAAGTGAAGCATGAGCATGGAGATCAAACTGACCGGCTCCACACGCTACCCCAACCTCTATCCTCCCCGCTACGGCTTCTGCTTCATCCTGTTCCACTCCTTTGTGATCAAAAGTCCTATTTATAAACATCAATATATAATAACCTACGTGGACGGTACTACTGGAAATATTTGCAGTGCTATTGATCCCGACAGAGCCTACCTAGGGCATTCAAGCAACAAAGGTCCATGTATATTTTGATTAATTTTGCATATATTGATTTAGATTTGAATATGCACTCTAAACGATCAAATTTTAAGTTTCAGTTTTTACGTAATTTTAGAAACTCATTATATAATAATTACATAAATTTATTGAAGAAAGAGACATTAGACTTTGCGCCAGCCCCTTGTGTTTGTGTCGTTGGCTTTCCTTCGTAATTAGCTTCTAATACCGTTGGCTAAGTGGCAAAAATTGAAGGAATGATTAAACGGATCTTGATATGGCATGCATGTCTAATATGGTACAGCTTTAGAAGATGAATATATGGCCTACTGCGGGCTGATCAGCTTCAAGGCAAGGACCGAAGCTGCCCAAAGTTTTCAGGCACCCTGACCCAGGGACGTACACTCACAGCTTAAAACTACTCATCACAGTAATGGATTACAGCAAAATATTACACTAAAAAACAATCAGAATATCAAAAAGACTCTGTTTAGAAGCATGCACACGAGCACAAAAACAAACAGAAGCACCATGAGAGGATCATGGTTTGGTAGCTGTCTCCACCAGTCCGCCTAGCTAGATGATCTAACTAATCACCACCACAACCTCCACATCCACCACCATCACCGCCATCGCCAGTGCTGCAACAACCACCATCACAACAGCCGACAGTGACCTGATTCGGCGGAGGCTTGTCTTTCTCGTCATCCTTTTTCTTTTTGTCTTCGTCATCGTTGTTTGCACCATCCACGCAACCAAAAATAATCATTGATATGATTGAAATTGCGATGAAAAGTTGGCACAATAGCAGAATGCCACCAGAGAGATTAATGATACTCTCATCGTTCTCCATGGCTTCAAATATTCGAGCCATCGTTAGTTACGAAACTCTCCTCCTGCAACTAGCTATGATCCCTTATACTTGCCGATGTCCATTCATTGCTTCCTTTTTATATATATGTGAAGGGGCCTACGTGATTTCCTAGTTTCTTTCTAATGAGGAAACTTGAAGGAAAAGCATCCTCGACTTGGTTTCTTCCCAGCATTTTCCTTCACAACAATAAAAATTTCTAAATAATACTATGTTTTTATCCGTTTGTTTCTTTCTGCCGTCTCAATTTCCAAGTCAAGGTTTCATATCCAAGCCAGATAAACACACAAATGTGTATATTCTAAGCTCCTAAATGATTCCTGTTGGGTGTGTGTCTTTTCACTTGCAC